AGTATAATTCTACTGAAAAAAAAAAGAAAAAATATTATTTGCTTTTGTATTTTTTTCAGCTATTTTATTGCTTCAACTCTTCCTTTACTCTTTTTTTTTTAAATTTGAAATCTATAAATATGAAGATGCAGAGTATAACAGTTTTTGTTATACTAATCATTTCATTTAATGTTATTATAATACTTTTTTAAATTTATTGTTGTGTTTTTGTCAGAGAAAATAGTAACTTCGTAAAGTCATGAAAAATCTTGGAATTAGTCATGAATTTGAAAATCTGAAATGTAGCAGATACCCTGGAAATGTCAACAAACATTGCTGTTAGCGATTATAAGAAAATGCGCGCTTGGTTTGCTTTGCTGAGAAAAAATAATTCATCTATTTCATTGGATGAAAGCACAAACGCTTTCAGAAAAAGATTGCAAGAAAAAATCTATTGTTATATTATGACCAACTAATTTTTGGAGAATTTTAGAAAAGTTAAAGATTCTCCAAAAACCATTTTTAATCATTTTGTCAAACGATAAATGGGTTCAGCCCACATACTTTTATAAATAGCAAATATCCCAACACTTTCTTGCACAATCTTAGCCTTTCCTATACTGCCTAGTCCTATAGTCTCCTAAAGAAGTGGAAGGATTCTCTTATTCATTTTGCAATCATGGGAGAGTTTCATGTGGCATTCTAGTTTAACAGGGTTATAATGGAACAAATTTTAATGCAAGCAAAATACTGCTAAGTTGATGGTATTTCAACTGTTTGGCAAGAAATTTTTGTCTAAAAGTGGGTATAACAGATGGTAAATTGATTTTATTTATTAAATTAATAATATAAATTAGTAAAATAATTTCAATTTACTTATTTTAATTTAAATTAGTAAAATTAAGAAAAAAGTTCCAGCTTTTTTTATTAAAGATCCCTAATTTTTCCAGTACAAAAAAAATTCCCTAATAATTCCAGGTTTTCAAGGAGATTGGCCACACTGAAAAATTAGGTTGCATAATACAGGGTGCATAGCCAGATTTTCCAACACCTTTTAAGTACTTTTTTAGCACTCAAAAAATATTTTTAATCACTTTTCAAAAAAAATCAGGATTTGTGCAGTCATAAAATTTATTTCTTTCTATTGTGTAAAGTTCTTAATTTATAAACGTAAAATCTATAAAGTTCAAAAACTTTATTATGATAAAATAACTAGTTTTTGACAAATATTGCAGAGAAAATTGTGCATTTTTTTGTTATTTAGAACGATATTACGGCAAAGAAAAAAACTCTCTTAGTAAAAGACAGAAAATTATGCACTTTTTACAAACCCACAAAAAAAAGCACCTTAAAGGGGTTTTAAAAAACGTAAATCAAAAATAAGCACTTTTTAAAAACGCTGAGCACTCTGTAATAAATGTATAAAACAAAGTTCTATGCAGAACAACCACAGCGGTCAAAATGACCACAATAGAGATTTCATAATTATTAATTGAAATAGTACTTTTTTTCTTCATTACTTAATCGGCTCACACACCTGAGTACATAGACATTGTATAGGTATTCTTTTATTATAGAGATCCCTCTCTAGTTCGCTATCAGACCCTAAAACTGCTAATGTAGTTCTTTTCAAACCTCTTTATGACATGAGGTCGCTAATCGAACTGCAAATTTGCAATTCTTTGCTAAGCAATGATAAAATTCTAGTATTTGTTTAACAGCAGAAGAAACTTATAACAATTGATGAACTATTAAACTCAAGAATTCAGAATCTGTTCACTTTATAGTTACAAACCGGCAGATTGTATACGATTCTTTGCTATTCACAATATCCCTGTGGCAGAATTTTTTTGAGCTGTCTGCGACTAAACTCTCTAGCACTAATATCTTTCTGCAAGATATTTTTAATACTAACAAACATATATGATACTAATTTAAAACAACAAATAAGCTATGTTTACAAATAAATAAATAAAATAATTTTCTTAATTAAACATGTAATAATTTTTCTAATATGGGTGACATTCTCACATTTTGTTGGGGGGAGGGGGACGAACATATTATTTACTTCTTCGCATTTTGTAAATAAGCATCACAATAAAAAAATATTAAATATCATGAAATCCGTAGTAGTGATTGCGAAAAAAAAAAAGATCATGACGAAATCAGGTAAATTGGACAACTCAAATGTGTGTTCGTTTCAAGGTTATAATAAAAAATATCAAATTTAAAAACTATGGAGAAATCAATAGCAATAACTTCCAAAAATTCGATAGAATTATTGCCTTAAAAATAAATAATACTCAAATCCACGATTTGAATTTCCCATAGTGTTTGAAATATATTGGGATGTTTAAAAACCATGTGAAAATCAATATTAATAATTGCCAAAAATTATTAATTGCTAGATATAATATTTTAATAAATTTCTGTAAAAAGAGAAAAGTAAAATTTTTTACTTTTTGAAAGAAAATCTTTCTGCATGAACTCTGTAAAGTTCTGCGACACTGTCACTGCGATTCTGCCAAGGGGTACAATATTATGCACAGTAATGCAGATTCAATTATTCATTTTGTTTAACAGCAGAGGTAGTAGATTTCAATTCGTTATTTCTTGGCTCACATACGATTCACTAATTTAAACATAGATTTACTCACTATCCTAAGTAAAGAGATAATAACAATATCAAACACTTTTAGAATATTAATATCATGAAACTTAATTTTAAGAATGGAATGGAACTTAAAAAAACGACTAGGTGTAGCCATTCAAGACACCAGACATTCACTTTCGCGAATTGATATTAATTTATTTATTAATATTTCATTTATTTGATATTTTTAATTTCCAAATAGGAAAAGATCAGTGTTTGAAATACCTCTCATGGTTTTAACTAATTCAAATTAGAAACTATAATAAGTTTTTGGTTATGAAGGGCACAACATAGTCTGACAAAACTTTTAGATGTTTTATAACATGAAATAGAGAGGTATTTGAAAGCTTTTGCTTTATATAAACAAAACTAACCCTATCTAGAAATCATGAAAAAATATTTTAAAGTTTGTTTTTTTCTCAATATCTTACATAAATTTTAGGTAAAATTCATAGAGATGACATTGAAATTCAGAAACAATAAAGAACTTAGTTATATTATGTAGAATAAATTTCTAAGAATATAATAATTTCTGTTTAGCCCAGTAAGAAAATAAAAAGTGATAGAAGGAAAGGATTTGACTATACACTGAACTCAAAAGCATTAGGTAAATTTATGTCAACATAAAATATAACTTGAGGATGAAGTTTCCTAACTGACGTAGCAAAATTTGAATGGAGCTGCCATATATCCAGGTGGTTTCAAGTTAAGTTGCACTATCGCCCTAGTGGTGCTCTTTATTCTAATAAAAGGTGCACTTTTCTGACTTAATTTACAAGGGCAATGACTGGTGAGCTTGGCTTGTCTAAGCTAAGAACTCCTCTCGCCACAAAGTCTGGTGCTATGGAAAAAAGAATGGCGTATTTTAAGGAGGGTAGCTTCACTCTAGGAGTAACACATTAGACCGAAGAACGAGATTCCCTTTCTCTCGTCTACCCTTGTAAAGTAACCATTCCAAAACAGTGAGCCCGCACCCCTACTTGAAATAGTCATACCTTGTTACCATAGTCACCGCCACAGGTCAAGACGAATGCCTGGGGAGTTCTTATTTCAGACAAACTATAAATGTCGTTAGGAACAACAACAAACAGAAAAAATTTTTCAACAGCTACAAAACTCATGTAACATTGAAATAAAATTAGAGTATTTTTATTATGACCATCCTATGAAAAGTAATATAGATTTATTTTGCTCTTAAATTTCAATTGAAGTTTATTATTCAAATGAAGGATAAAATTTAATCTTTGAATTTACTATGTTAACCTGAATCCCTCAAACTTGGAGGAAGGAGAAAGATCTTTAGTCGTGACTAAGGCCAAAAAGGACTCAATAGAATTTTGTTAGCCAGTGTAATTAAGAGTTCTAAAAATCAGACACATTGCTCTTCAGTCGACATCCCCCACATGGATAAGGTGGGACGATGAACCTCTATTTTATTTTGTCTGATGTCAACTTACTGTTTTGACAACATTGTTACTAAGCATTTATTGTAACCTTAAGTTAAAATGAAGGTATGGTCACTCTCTTTCATCAGTGCACAATTTTTTTTAAATATATTTGTTATGGAAATTTTTATTTTTTATACAATGCCTTTTTTAGTGAGCTATGGCTAGACCAAACAATTCTTACAATTGGAAAAAAAACTTTATTTTGCAATTGTTCATCAAATGGGTAAGAGGAGACAGGACTTATGTAGCATTTTCATAAGAAGCTCATTAGTCACATGATAAATACCTTTTAAATTGCTTTTTTCAAAATTAAATGGGAATTACCTAATTTTTCTACATATCAACTATAGTTCGTTCACTAGTTATCACTTTGCTCCGTCTTCATCACGTGGTATCCGACAATACTATTTCGCTATTTTTGGGAGAAGGATGTGAACAATCCTGAACAAGGTTGATATTTGGTGATCGTATGACAGATATATTTATTTTGCTATCTTTATGTGCATTTTTTTGACATTAAATATTTCATATATTTGATATTTCTCTCTTTTAAGTGAATAGTTTGTCTTTTTTGAGACATTTTGCTCAGAAAACAGCAGTTTTTAAATTTAAAATATATTAAATTAGAGTAATGGCAGATGATAAAGTGAAGTGACTGAAAAAGAATTCACTGTTTGCGTTTGGCAAGCATTAAAGGTTGTCTAATTTTCAAGTGCGGAGATGTTTCTCCTCCTACTCCCGCACTGAAATTAACTCTGTGTCCGAAGAGGTGGTGCTAAGTGCAAACTCCTGGTGAATGAATTATAACTGAATATTATTTTTCTGTAAGGTTTAACTATCATTGCAAATTAAAAATAATTTTTTCTTCCAAGATGATTAAAGTCAAAAATAGGCAAAAAAAGTACTACATAACAATACAATAACATTAAAAAAAAAGGAAAGCATTTTAATACATGAATATAATAAATATAAATTGCCAAAGCAATGCAACAAATGATAAACTACTGTCGAATATCCTTCTTTTTTGGTAGTATGCCCAAAAATCTTCCCCGGGTCATTTCTTTTGCTAGAAGAAAGGAAAAGTATGTTATTAGTAAAGAATTAATTCTAACTGGTAATAGGCTAATAATAAGTCAAGACAGAGCAACAAATTGGTTTAATAAAAGCATCAGAATAAATATAAATTGTTTTGCCGAGAAATATATAAAGATAAAGGGAAATCAAATTTGAATGTAGTATAAAAATAAGGTAGAAAAAACAATGTAAATAATCTGATGACTAACAATTATTCCAACATGAGTTATCTTGAGCTTGTAGTGTATCTACGACTACAAAAATATAATTCCAATTCACTAGTATATAAAACATGTTAACTTGATTCTATGGTGGGGTACCTTTTCGCAGATGAAGGTTGACATTGTCGATTACCCCTCGCCCCCACACTAACAATTATTCCGACCCGAGTTATTTTGAGCTTTTAAGTCATGGGATTAAACCTAGTAGTACTGACAAGTTCTTAAGTAGTTGATAAAAGAAGTAATTAGAGAAATCATTTTAAAAGTTGCAGTTGAAGCTGAATCTTAAATTCTCATCTGAGGTGAGTTTTTCCTCCCATATTTGAATTTGAATCACCAAATTTTATTTTATGCATTTCAAGGAAAGAGACTAGTCAGCATAGTTTCGAAAAACATATGCATCTAACGAAAGATAAGTTAGGTATTGTTTCTTATACACATAATGGGTAGGTAGGATACTCAATAGGGCTAATGGTTAAGAAGCTATTGAGCAAACACAAAAAATTTTTAATTTATACCAACTTTATACTTTGGCATTCATATTTAGATTTCTTTTCAGCATATTTTTTTGAGATAAGTTATATTTGTTTTATCTGTAAAAAGTACACTTTGTAAACAGATATTACTAGCTAAACAAGTAAGATTCTATTTCTTGTGTAATTTTTAAAAACATTTTTAAATCCAATGAAAGCAAAATTAAGTTGATAACACCACTACAATTACAAGTACTACTGCAAGCACAGATAGTAATTAGTTTTCTAATTATTGTGTACACTAATCATTTAGAAGCTAGAGCTAACCTCTCAAATCATTGCTTTCTTTCTTTCTTTTGCTTTTCTTTTCCTTTTTAGATCAAAAGTTATTTAAGAGAGTACATTGTATCAATTTACAAATTTGTTTTGCACTTGTTAATTCATTTTTATCATAAAATATCCTCACAATTTTAATAAAAATGAGATTATGAACTATTTGTGTTAATGGAACTTAGTAATTCAAAGGTTAAAATACTCGAATTCATTGTCAATTTTTAAGAGTTATTTCCCTCTTCTATTAATTTTAGAGAGTTTAATTTTAAAATGGAGGGATGAATTTCAAAATTGAGATTATGTTAATTACTACTACAAATCTACCAACCTTAAAAGTGCATCAGAAATTCTCACTTTCTTTAAATCAGGGTTAGAAAAAAAAAACATGATTTTTTTACATAAACTGAAAAATACATTAACATTTATAACATAAGGTTATAATAATATATTAGTATTACATAAGGTAATACTAATTTACACTCTAAATTATTTACTTTATAATAGCATTTAATTAATTATAAGGTAAAATCTTAATTTTTTTATATTATTAATAAATATTATCAAAAATAATTACAAAATATAAACATGCTAACATAATAAAAAAGAATAACATCAGATTTTGAATATTAAGAACATAACATGAACATAAGATTTTATACATTACTTCACATTTCAACTTACATATAAATACAAATTTAACTTTAATATGCCATTTCATTCTTCTATTAGAAGGTCTTTACATTAAAACAAAGGAGTTATCAAACCATTTTAGTAAATCATAGTTAGAACAGGTAAAACTTAGGATTTACCAAACTTCAGGCTTTTACAGTTGTTATGGTAAAAACCTTAAGTCTAGTAAATCCTAAGCTTTACCGGTAAAATCTAGCTTTAACCAAAGAGGATAGGTAAAAGTTAAAGTATGCTTTAATAAGATTCTATTTCAGCTTTTTACCATTAATTAGAAGCCTAGGAGTTACTAAGCCATTTCGGTAAATATAAGGTTTTGCTGGTTACACCTAGGAATTACCAGACAGGACAGCTTTTACAGTAACATAAAAAAGTCTAAGGGAAAAAATTAGTTATATCAAACTTAGGTTTAATTTCTTCAAAATAAATAAATCTTGAAGTTCCAGAACAAATCTGAAGAATTGTGATGCACGAGAGGGAGAAAAACAAAAATATCAAAAGATAAACATGTTTTTTTTTATGACAAAAAAGGACATACCTTCTTCTAAACCTAATTGATAAGCTAAATTCTGTAAGTCTCGAACTTTTTCCAATAAAGCAGCAGCAGTTAAACTACCAAAACCTGCAAGAATCAGGAACTTTTGCAGCAACACAAAACAAAGCAACAACTTGCACAGATAAAAACGAGTTCTCTAATTCATGTCAAATTAATTAGCATTTGCATCTTTAGATCAAAAGAATCTTTTTGTACACCATATATTTAAAAATAAAAATCAAGTTTATATAAACAGATTTAGAAGACCATACCATGCAAAACACTGATGTCTTCATGGTCAAACTCTTTTAGCCATTCTGGTTGATTGGTAGCCTTAGAATCACTCTGTATCTAAAATGAAAATCTACTGGCATCAAAATATCAATAAAAGGCAAAAAATCCATATTTTTAAAATTATATCTTTGTGCCACGTCACAAATTAATTGGTGATGATATTTAAAATGTTCTCTTGATATGCTTTTACGCCCTTGAGCATATCTAGAATATTCTTCAATATAAGGCAATTTTGTTCAAAGACTAGGATATAAAGAAAAGGTGATATATATTAGATTTTAAGTGATTTTATCTTACGGTAATCACACTCTAAATCCTCAGTCATAGATTAATTATGCCAATAGTCTAACCCATTTTATATTAATTAAGTTCTCAACATAGAAAGTAGGCATTCATTTGTCATCTAGAATAAGCTCCATTAAGTTAATAATAAAAATAATATAAAAAGGTTACAATGGCCAACTATATTCCATGAACAATTTTCGACTTGAAAACAGTCATAAAACATTTTGTACAGCACTTACAAAATATTATTTTCCACCTATCTTTAATTTCTTCAACTATAATAATACATGAATTTTTTTATACCTGCACATTTATAATTTTTTCCGTCATTTTGATTTCTTTTTAAATTAATTATCCAACTGTTGGAAAGCAAACACTTTTTCAGTAATATTACTAATTTATAATAATATATAGTAAGCATTAGAGCAAAATTCCGTAGTTTGCCAATGCACATTAAAACAAATTTTGATTAAAATATAGTACTTTAAGTTCTTTTCCAACTCTGAAATAATTTTTAAAAATAATGTGAATCAATTGTTTTAATTATTATTCTTTACAATAATATTATTGAATTTAAAAAAAAAAATATTGCAAATTTTGTTTATTTTTTTTTTAAATGCTAAATATAATATGAATTTTATCCTTTATAATATATAATTTTTTCATTTGCTAGATTTCTTTTTGAAGAAATGCTATTTTTATTTTTTATAACCAACGTTGAACAGTCAACCCAATTTTTGGGTTTACGACTACTAATCTACAATTCCGTAGCTTTGTAACTTTGAACTCAATCCAAATGACAAGGGAACTCCTGGATCAAGTGTTGGGAGAAATTTGTCTTACATCGAGAGGAAGACCATAAGCACCTCCCACAGAAAGGGACTCTAACTATGATCCGTCTACCACTGAGGATATTTCACGACAGCACTGTGGTCGGTGCAAGCAAGGCGAGGATTCGTATCGACCAGCTATCGCTGGAATTCGAACGCGGTTCACCTCATTGGAAGGCAAACGCTCTATCCCCTGAGCTATCGAGGCTCGAAGAAATGCTTTCTAAAAATCAGAGAAAGAAAATCAAAAACCAATTTAGGAAGAAACTTCAAATTTCATATTTTTAAGAGTTAATGCATTTTGTTGGGCATATGTTCAGCTATAAAAATTGCATGAATTAGCAATAAAAATTGACACTCTTACTTGCAAAGGGAAAAAAAAAAGTGAGAAAAAAATTATAACAACAACAGTGAAACTAGATTTTATAATCATTTCAAAATTTTAATAATCAAATAGCTGCACTGGAAAGGGGGAGGAGGAAATGGATGGGAATCTCTAAAAGTTATTTCAATAAATTAGGATAAGATGAAAAGACTTAGAAAAAAAAATTATTTTTTGAATTATTATAATTTAAATATTATCTCTTAACATGCAGGATTTCAAATCGGATCGTCAGCAAAATTTGAAATTTTAAGGAGGAAAAGTTCGCTCCAAAATACTATATGCTTTTTTTTTAGAGGTATTACTTATCTTTTTTTTTTTGGAAGTTAGTAGAAAAAATTTAAAAGAGGATATGGGGTAGCAGCAAAGTTTTTTAAAATTTTAGGGTAATTTTAGGAACTTTTTTCAAAAAATTTTAGGTAAATTTTAGGGGTAATATATGATTTTGCTAGGATAAAAACAGATCACACGGTAGTTTATTACATAACAGAAGATTATTACAATTCATCCACACATATCATAAATAATTGCAAGCCATAAAATAAAGCTCTGAAATTTATTAAGTCAAGAATGAAATCTCTAAAGTGTAAAAATGAAATTTCAACTTTACATATTACCTATCAGAAATTAAGTGCATAATTCAGGAACAGGCAAAAGTGAGAATAAATCAAGAGAAAAAATAAATTAACACCAACTTGGATTTTTATTTAATTTTTACCTTCTTAATCAAAACTTTATTATTACCCTTTACCTTACTTTATTAAGAAAAACTATTGTGTGATATTATTAGATTTCAAATCAGCAATTTATATTAGAAGTTAGAGAAAAACAAATTAATCATGATCATTTTTCTGACATATTCTTGATATGATTTGTGAGATTCTTTTACTGCCCTCAATAGTGTTGTGATGATCTTCAACACTCCTCCATAATTTCGAATGGTATCTTTGATTAGTCTAAGAGACATAATAGATGACTCACATTAAGCATTGCTTTATTTATCGAAAAACCTCTCTCAGGATCAGAATTCCCATGTGGAAAATTAAAACAGTTTTAATTAACGTAGTTAAATTCTTATATTTTAGATGATTGCTTTTTTATTTATATTTAGCCTATGACTAATTTTTTAGGAACACCAACAAAATTTTATCAGATTTTTAGGAATTTTAGGGTTTGCACATAGTCTTAGGAATTTTATGAATTTTAGGGGGAATGCGACCCCTGGAGGATAAAGAAACAAACTTTTAACCACTTAAATATCTTAGTGGTCATGATAAATTTCTTTGATTATAATAAACAAATCTTACCATAGCAAGTGATGCAAATTTTGAAACTCCAGGAACTAAAAATGAACAAAAAGAACGAATCAGGTATAAAAAAAAAAGATTGAATTNGAAGTTAGTAGAAAAAATTTAAAAGAGGATAAAGAAACAAACTTTTAACCGCTTAAATATCTTAGTGGTCATGATAAATTTCTTTGATTATAATAAACAAATCTTACCATAGCAAGTGATGCAAATTTTGAAACTCCAGGAACTAAAAATGAACAAAAAGAACGAATCGGGTATAAAAAAAAAAGATTGAATTCATAAATATAAAATATCAAATTATAAAATACATACTTTGTTCTGGCCATAGCTCAGGGGAAGATCTATCCAACATTTCAGAACTCAACAAATTTAAATTCATTTCTTCTGAAACTAAAACAGATAAGTTATTAATAAAATTCAGCAAAATGAAATAAAACAGTTTGACATTTCTTTTATCACAAAACATTAAGCTACACACATTTATATAAATTGTTTATTTTCTATGATGGTAAAAAACAAATTCCTAATAGTTATAATAAATTTTAACAAAAATTCTCTCTTGGGTAGAAAAAGTGACAAAGGTTAAATATATAGAGCAAAGTGATTGTAGCAAGCTAAGCCATGATTTCTGTTGACTTCTAGAATTAATTAAAGAATTAGGGATGCAACGAGTAGTGATTTGGCCGTATACCAAATATAATGCAAAATAGCAACAAAACAGAAAAAATTATTAATAGGTAATTATTATTTTTTTTAATTGAAATAAGTTTAGTCATTAAAAAAAGTTGTAAAGATGAAAAAAAAGAAATAGAAAGAAATCCTCTTAAGACAAAACTTCAATGCTAAAAATAATATCTTCAGGAAAAAAAAATATCCATAAAACAGATGCCTATACGCTTCTAAAAAAGCAGCACCATCATAAAAACATCTATAAAAAACCAAGATTATATACAAAAGCGAAACAAAAATAATAAAAACCAATCTTTATTTTGGAAAGAAAATTTTAAAGCTAAACATCTTAGTTCTCCAATTACTGTATTTTCAAGAAAAAAAGTGAAAATTAAAGTATAATAGATACCCTCGTAATTGCCGCATCACAATGGAAACTCCTGTAAAAGCACAAGTTTTTTTTAAAAAAAAGATAGATAGATACCAAAGCAAAAATCATTAATATTTAAACGAAAAACTTAATGCTAAAAATCTTAATTCAACCTTTTGACATTGACGTATTTTTAGAAAAAAACTGACCATAAAAGAAAATGCTAACGAGCATTTTGCTCTTTAAAAAATGCTGTCATAATGAAAACACTGATAAAAAGAAAAATTTTTTTTTCTCCATAGGTCTTTCAAAACACAAATTAACCCAATTTAGAACTTAACAAATATATGTAAAAACTATTTCTAATAATATATATTAAGAAAAATACAATTATAGATAATTCTTTATTAAATCTATATTTATAATTATAGAAATTTTATAGTTATATATAAAATTTCTCCCAAAAGAACTTAGTTGAAAAATAATTTTCCAAATAATACTTTACCGAATATTCAACCAAATATTCGATGAAAGGGCCAAATATCCGTTACATCCCTATAAAGAACACTTGCACAAAGTGATTCATTGTAGGTGTTTTCTAAAAATGTGTATGAAACAATAACAGCTTTTGAATAAATAAGAAAACCACAACATGATTTATGCTGTTTTTCATGATGGGTATGTATTTATTCAAAATGCTATTACACAGGCACATTAAATTTATGACGCAATTAACAAGAAATTTAATTAAACAATAACGATGATGGCATGTCTTCGGATCATCCTCCGGGATGTTTCCCAGACCGTCGCCAATAGCCCATTGTGCAGCTCTAGTGCGACGTAAAGTAACAACAACAACAATAAAGGTAATAAGCAGCAGACAGTCAACAGCAAGGAGCCAGAAATTATTTGATATTTCAGCTTCACCTCTAGATAACAAGTTAAAGTTTGTGCTGTGTCAATTTCATTTGACTTTAATTTTAAATAGGAAAAGGAACATTAAAAAAATATCATCAGGTCACACCTCAGGAAATAAAAATTAAGTTTAATTTATTAGTTGAGTTAGTTGTTCTCTCTCAAGAAAAAAATTGATTAAAACCTCAATCAAATTTGATTTTAATAAACAAATCTTAATGCTGAGAATAGTTTTTAATTTATTTAACAGCAACTTGGCTGGGCTAACCAGCAATGCTATAACAATGATACAGGCCTCTTGAACTTCTGTAAGATATAATGAAATTAATGGAGAATAAGGAAATTGAAAGTTCATGTTCCGATATTAAATTTTTTCATTCCTAGAGTTGAAAACTCTATAAATTAGCATTCTCCAAATATAGTAAACACTTACGTATTTCCATTGGTGAGTGAGGAGGGGTAACTCCAGTGCTTTCTTCAGATACCTTTTTGGCTGCCATGAAAAACTTTAGCAGGTGTAGAAAGATTATAGATTTTTCAAGATAAACAAACTGAAAAAATATACATTATAATTTATATAAAAGTGAACCCATTAGAAATCTTTGTCAAATCATTGGAAAACAATTCTAAAAATACGTTCAATATGCTAATTTAAACCGAACAGAGATAGTTATAAGAAGGCCACAATCAAAATTTGCATACATTTTATTAATTGAAGTGATTAAAATATGTTAAACGGTTAGATATTTTAATCTTTTCTTACTCATGTTCCTTTCAATTCCATTAATGAGCACTTGAAAAAAAAAAAAGAAGCACAAATTTTTGTAACAGATTTAAGAAAGTTCAAAGTTTTCCTCTGTCATCTGCTTTTAATAAAAGTAACATAACTTGGTGTATCAAGAACCCAAATTTTTTTAATTATTAAGTTTGATTAGTACAGATGAAATCAAAGGACTTTTTAAACTATTCATAAACGAAATCGGTGTAAATTTTTTATAGAAAGTAGCTGATGTTTATTTCTTTAAAATTCCCAAATTTGCTTTGATTCCGAAAAAACTAAAACGACTGAACTTCTTTTTGTGACATTAAGAACGTTGAATTCGGCAACGGGCTTAAACTTCTGAATGATCCTGAAAGCGAACGATAAATGCTCTGGAATCCGTTCGCATACTTTTGCAGTAATCGTTCGATTTGCTCGCTGCTAAATTACTCATTCGTTCATAGACGATCCTCTGCTTCCTGAAAATAAATAAATAAAATCATAATAGTAAATAATCAGGGTGTGAATGATATTTTGAATGAAATTGTTTGAAATGAAGGAATAAAAAAAAAGCTTTTGACTTGTGTCGAAATGAGGGAAAGTATGGCTGCCGAGAAAGTTACTCTCTCCGATGCTCTTTCTAATGTTGATGTACTTGATGAATTACCATTACCTGATCAACAACCTTGCATTGAGGCTCAACCATGTAGCATTGTGTATCATTCAAATTTTGATACTAATTTTGAAGATCGCAATGCTTTCATCACGGGACTTGCTAAGTACATTGAAGAAGCTACTGTGCACGCAGAACTTAATGAAATGCTCGAAGAAGGTGAAGAGCATGCAGTTATGCTCTACACTTGGCGATGTTGTTCAAGAGCCATTCCTCAGCCTAAGTCTAACGAGCAACCCAATCGCGTTGAAATCTACGAAAAGACTGTTGAGGTGTTGGCACCGGAAGTAAATAAGCTGCTTAATTTCATGTATTTTCAAAGGCGTGCTATCGAAAGGTTCAGCACTGAGGTGAAACGTTTGTGTCACGTTGAAAAAAGGAAAGATTTCGTTTCCGAGGCCTATTTGCTCACCCTCGGTAAGTTTATAAACATGTTTGCCGTGCTGGACGAACTCAAGAACATGAAGTCGAGTGTAAAAAACGACTACGCTACCTATCGCAGAGCCGCGCAATTTTTAAAAGTAATGGCGGATTCTCAAGCATTGCAAGAATCTCAGAATCTATCAATGTTTCTCGCAACGCAGAACAGAATAAGAGATACTCTCAAAGAAAATTTGGAGAAAATCTCTGGATATGAAGAACTGATGGCTGACGTTGTTAACATAGCTGTACAGATGTATGAATATAAAATGTACATGCTACCCACTGAAAAACACATGCTTGTTAAAGTCATGGGCTTCACGCTGTTTTTGCTGGATGGGGAAATCTCAAATATCAATAAAATGGATCAAAAGAAACGCGTTAATATCGCCAAGATTGATAAGATCTTTAAGCAGCTCGAGATGGTACCCCTGTTTGGAGACATGCAAATTGCTCCTTTTAATTACATAAAGCGTAGTCCTCATTACGATCAGTCTCGCTGGCCTCTGGCGAGCTCTAGCTCTCCCAGTCCCCAATCAGATTTGCTGCAGCACTTGCCCACCATAAGGGATGAATATGTCCGCTACATCAGCGAGTTGGCTCGACACAACAACGAGGTGACCACGACTGTCAAAGAAACTCCCCGCACTGATTCGGAAAACAAAGAGCTGACCGAAATAGCTCTCCAGGGCTTACAGTTGCTGTCAGATTGGAGCACTCATGTGACTGAATTGTATTCTTGGAAACTCATGCATCCAACAGACCATCATCAGAACAAACAGTGTCCACAGGAAGCTGAAGAATACGAACGGGCCACTCGGTACAACTATAGTGACGAGGAAAAGTTTGGCCTGATTGAAGTGATTGCTATGATCAAAGGTCTGCAAGTGCTCATGAGTCGTATGGAGACGGTTTTTACAGATGCCATACGTAGACACGTTTACGCAGAACTGCAAGAATTTATTCAGGTAACACTCAGAGAACCACTCAGGAAAGCAGTTAAAAACAAAAAGGATTTAATTCGTAGCATAATTCTTGCCGTTCGTGAAACGTGCGCTGATTGGCTTAGAGGTTCAGAACCGCATGAAGATCCAGCTTTGAAAGGTAAAAAGGATCCTGAAAATGGATTCGATATTAAAGTGCCCCGCCGAAATGTTGGCCCATCAAGCACTCAACTGTACATGGTTCGGACTATGCTGGAGTCCTTGATAGCTGATAAGAGCGGAGGTAAGAGGACCTTGAGGAAAGATATTGACGGTCCTTACCTTATCGCGATTGATGTGTTTCATAAGGCATCTTTTTACTGGAACTATTTGTTGAATTTCAGTCAGACTCTGCAAGAATGCTGTGACCTATCAGCTTTGTGGTATCGGGAATTTTACCTCGAAATGACTATGGGGAAGAGGATTCAATTTCCCATTGAAATGTCCCTCCCTTGGATACTGGCCGATCACATATTGAAAACTAAAGATTCATCCATGATGGAGTGTGTATTATATCCTCTTGATTTGTACAATGATAGTGCATACTATGCACTGACAAAGTTTAAGAAACAGTTCCTCTATGATGAAGTTGAGGCAGAAGTTAATTTGTGTTTTGATCAACTTGTATACAAACTATCTGAACAGGTTTTTGCTTACTACAAACACCTGGCCGGTAGCATCCTACTCGATAAAAGATTCCGCGCGGAGTGTGCTAGTTACGGCACATGCTTCCATTACCCCCCTGCGAACCGTTACGAAACTCTTCTGAAGCAGAGGCACGTTCAGCTGTTAGGGCGATCTATTGATTTGAATCGCCTGATCGCTCAGCGAGTGAATGCTGCTTTGCAAAAGTCTTTAGATTTGGCAATCAGTAGATTTGAAGCTGGTGACATTACAGGCATTGTTGAGCTGGAAGGATTAATCAAAGTCAATAAACTGGCCCACAAGCTTCTTGGGAAGTACGTCATTTTGGACGACTTTGACTCAATGCTTCGCGAGGCAAATCACAATGTCTTAGCTCCATATGGTCGTATATGCCTACATGTATTTTGGGAACTGAATTTTGATTTTTTGCCCAATTATTGCTATAATGCAGCTACCAATCGATTTGTGAAAGTAAAAGATATCACGTTCACTCAGCCCGTAGCTCGAGACAAACCGCCGGCTGCTCATCCTAACTATTTCTTCGGTACGAAAGCCTTGAATGTGGCCAACAGCACTATTTATGGCATGTACACCGGTTTCGTCGGATCGCCTCATTTCCGATCCATCTGTCGCCTGTTGGGATATGAGGGAATTGCCGTCGTCATGGAAGAGCTCTTGAAAATAGTTAAAAGCTTGATCCAGGGCACATTGTTGCAGTACACGTCCACCCTAATGAATGTTATGCCTAAAGTGTGCAAGTTGCCCCTTTATGAATATGGATCACCCGGCGTTTTGCACTATTATCAAGCTCAGCTTACCGATATTGTTCAGTATTCCGATGTGAAGACTGAAATGTTTGAAGCCTTTCGGGAAGTGGGGAATGCTATTTTGTTTTGCCTATTGATTGAGCAGAGTTTGTCCCAAGAAGAGGTGTGCGATTTGCTGAATGCTGCTCCATTCCAAAATATACTTCCACGTCCTTACTGTAAAGATGGAGAGAAGCCGGAAACGAAATTAAAGAGACTTGAAGCGAAATATGCCCCCCTGCAGGTTGTTTCAAACGTGGAAAGGCTGGGAACGGGTAAACAAGCTGCCATCGCTCGCGAAGGAGATCTACTCACCAAAGAAAGATTATGTTGCGGCTTGTCTATATTTCAAGTGATACTGACGAAAATTAAATCTTACTTGGATGATCCCATTTGGACAGGAGCGCCACCTATGAACGGCGTCATGAATGTGGATGAATGCACAGAGTTTCATCGCTTGTGGAGTGCTTTACAGTTTGTTTACTGCATTCCTGTTGGAGAAAATGAATTTACAGTTGAAATGCTATTTGGAGAGGGATTAAATTGGGCGGGATGCGCCATGATCATGCTGCTCGGTCAGCAGAAGCGGTTCGAAGCCCTCGATTTTTGTTACCACCTGTTAAAAGTTCAGAGAGTAGACGGAAAAGACGAAGTTGTTAAGGGAATCCCTTTAAAAAGAATGGTGGATCGTATTAGAAGATTTCAAGTTCTAAACAGTCAGATATTTGCTATTTTAAACAAATATTTAAAATCAGGGGAGGCAGACAATATGCCAGTCGAGCATGTTCGGTGCTTTCAACCTCCTATTCATCAGTCAATTGCTGCCATAACTGGACAACAAAATATTACCACAATTTACATGAGAACTGATGGAATGTCAAAATAATTTATCATTATTAAGCCAAAGAAATTTTTTACTTAAAAACTTTTGTAATCCTTATATATCTTTTAGCTGTTATGGTAGGTGTTTATTTTATACCTTTTCCATATTATGCATCAAGTAAAGTAAGAACCTGAAAGAAAACATTCTTGAACTTATTTTGATGCTTGGAATTCTCTTAGTAATTTTTTAGAGAATGAAAATGCATTTAATTCTCTGTAAATAAATATATATATATATGTTGGTATGCTCTTCAGCTCTTAAATATGATTTATAATTAATTTCTATTAACAGGATAAAAACTAAATCATGGAATAAGCTCCTGTCATAACAATATTTTTTTATGTATATTTAGTTTTCATTATATCCTTTATTTTTATTGTAAAATAAAGGATTCTAAGTTACATATAAAGAATTTTCCATTTTATGTTTTGTTATAAGTACTGATTAGTTACTTGTTTGTAGTCTTTTTTTTTTTTTAAAGTTTTTGTCAATTTTAAGAAATATATATATATGTTTTTTAAATAATGTACTAACTTCGAAGTAACATTTTTGTTCAAAAATAAGGAAATTATGAATATTTTAAGAAAAGTTAGCTTTCATAGATAGCAACAAAGTAAAAATATTCTTTCTCTGAATGAACATAACTTTTTTTTTTGGATGCCTGACCCCCAAAATATAGGGCCGAGCAGTTTGGAGCTCTTAATGTTGATGTAATTTTTTATGTATTTTGCTATATCCCAGTTTTTTAAGCGAATTGAAAATTTTCTGCACGCAATTATAAAACTGGTTTGTCCAAAAATAATTCCATGCAAAAGATAAATGTTAGTAGATATTTATTATTTTTTTTATTTATTTAGTTATAAAAAAATTGAATTTTTAGGTATACAATATTTTGCATCATTTTAAAATACGTAATTTAAATGGTGCAAAACAAAATTCACCCCTCGCCCCTTTTAACGATTAAGATTGTGTCCTAGAAACTGAAGATCTGATCATTAGATCAAAATTTATTAAGGGTGATTTCTTTATTATTTTTTTTGCATACTTTACCTACTCACTCACAATGAATTAAAATTGAAACTGTTGCCATACCATTCTATTCTTAAAAAACCTATCTTATTGCCATTGTATGTAAATTGTTAAAATTATGTAGATTTATTATTATATTTTGCATTTATTTATACTGCTGCCCTAAGCGTAAAAGGCATATGTCATAACAAAAAAAGAAAGCTTTGGGTGTGAGTGTTTTTGTAAATTTTGATTATGCACCCGCTTAATATTATAGGAATTGTTTTTATTTATTATTTAGTTATTCTTTATTAATTTAACAGGCTGTTAAAGCAAAATTCTTTCACTGAGATAAGACCTTTTAGCCTAGCTAAAGTAATATGACTCCGATTTGCGAAGGGCTGTATCTCAACAATATTCCAAGTGATCAATTTTCTGCTGACATAAGTAAAAATATTGATATATAATTCTTGTAATTAATAGCATAAAATCGCAAAAATACATTTTCGCTATATTTTAAACTTGTAAAAGACTTTGTTAAATATTAGCATTTATTGCGAAATAAGTATTCCATAAATAATATCGAGTTTTTGTATCACAGGATAGTCTTCATTTATACATGGTATCCGCACTCCTGGAAAATCATGAATTTCAGTATTGAACAAAATTTGTCATGATTTTTACTATTTTTTAAACATGGAAATCATAGGAAGAGAAAATCATGGAAAGTCATGGATTTAGGTCGCCGAAAATTTTAATTTTTGAAATGGAACCCCCTCAATTTCATCGTGTTCCAATTATCTGAATTCCAAACAAAATCACTACTCACAGTCATATTTCATTAGAATATAAAATGTCTTTATCATATTCTTTAAAAATTATGGTGTTCTTTCAAAAAATGAAAGAAAAAGCATCATTTCTAGTGCAAATTATCTTTTAAACTTTTATGATTTAAGAATTTTTATTATTTATAAATTTTTTTATCAATTTAAATTTCAAGCCGAACAAGCTTGAATTTTTTTTTATTTCAAGATGAGAACAGACAAATAAGGAGTATTTCTTTCCTTTCTGATGAACAAGAAAAGTATCTTTAAAATATAAAAAATTAGCATTTTAATTTTTTTCCCAACTATTTTATTACTTAACTCTTTCTTTAATCTGTTTTTTAAATTTAAAATCTAAATATGAAGATGCAGAGTATAACAGTTTTGGTTATAATTGTCATTTCAATGAATGTTATTATAATGCTTTTTTTAATTTATTGTTACGTTTTTATCGGAGAAAATAGTAACTTCGTTAAGTCATGAAAAATTCTTGGAATTAATCATGGAAAATCATGAAAAGTCATNATACCTAACATTTCAATGAATGTTATTATAATGCTTTTTTAAATTTATTGTTTCGTTTTTATCGGAGAAAATAGTAACTTCGTTAAGTCATGAAAAATTCTTGGAATTAATCATGGAAAATCATGAAAAGTCATGAATTTGAAAATCTAAAATGTAGCAGATACCCTATATTTGCAGTGTGAATTTTAATAAATCTTCTAATTTCTTGAATGATTTTCTAATTTTTCTAAACAGCCTTCTTGCTTAAGATTAATGTCAAGAGGCTCCCAAACATTACTAAAAAAAATAAAATAAAATTATAAAGAGTTAGTATATATATATTTTTTTATTAGGACGGCTGTATAATAATAATAATATTTTCTTATTTATTCCTTTATGTCAAAAGATAATGATTTTTTTTCTTCATGAATGTTATTTCTTGTTTATTTTATTGTTTATTATGAATATTTATATTTTAAATCTGTATAACCAATGTGTGAATTATCAATGAGTCTTCAAGAAGCAATGTATGAAGTTAAATCAATTTTTCTAATTTCACTTCAGATTTTTGTAGAGATTCTGAAATAATAAAAATTATTAGAGCCTATTCACTAAGAAGAATTATTTACTTTGGTGTAATGGTTATTTATTTTTAAATGCACTGCTTGCATTTAAATGTAAGTTATTTGGTAATTAATTGAATTTGACATTATTAATGAAACATGGGTGTAAATTTATATTATTTGCATTGTTATAATAACCCATAAGAAACATTTTAAAAAGACATTTGGATAAGTTTACTAAAAAATTATGGTGCTAAGCTCTTTATATATGTATATTAAAAAAAAAAAAATTAGAATTTTATTGTTGAAAAAAAATAGTTACAATAGTATATAATTTGCATCATGTCTTATTAACTTACTAAATTTGTAAGAGTTTCACTATGTTATAGCTCCTATGCAGTAATTTTCTTCTCAAAATTTTTAATCAAAAGAGTAAATAACATTCAAAATATTCTGCATATGTTGAATTCATAAAACATCTATCTTTTTTAATTTTTGGTAATTTTTAAATGTCCACCATTTTTTTAAGAAAATCGAATTTAAAAAGTTGGAATTTCTGCGCAACCCATTACCGTGTCTTTGGAATCTCTCTCGTTCTTCATTTCATCGAAATACTAATTTTAATTCTGCCTTAATGATGAGTATTAAGTAACTTTTTATTTAATTTCTTCTCACATAGACTAAAGATATTTATTTAACTACTCATAAAAAGGAAATTTACAACATTGTGAAGCATTAGTTTAATTATTTACAGTTTGGACGGGACCACTAAAAATTTTCATTGCAATCGAGGGTTCACTATATCATGGGTTCATTATTGTGAGTTTAGACAATGCAAATTAATTATTGTAACAAAAGATTCATTGTTGTATGATTCTGTGGGGAGATTAGTTATCGCCAATGTCAATCTTCATCTATGAGAGGGTAGTCCAGCATAGAATTGAGTTAACATGTCTAATATACTTGAGAACTGGAATTGTATTTTTGTAGTGGTAGACATACTACAGTACTTCCCCACCAGAATTATATATATGATAGAATTCGATGAACGGACAGCACTAGTGGATTCATTGCTGTTTTTTGAGAAGCCGAGAGAGCTGTTTTAAGATCACCGTACTTTTTGAGAGCTGTATTAAGTTCATGGTCGTGGTCGCTCTTGTGTTGCCATTAGCAGTCGAGTGTATACGTGTGTGATAGAGACTGAGAAGCGAGAGCGTGAGGAGGACAATATCGGAGTTGCAAGTCAAATGTTTAATGTGGGCGATCCATCGAATTAGGCGTGTTCAAATCGTAGTGGGCGTTTCTGCGAAGGAAGGCGTGTTCATATTCCGCCCCATGGTCACCAATGTAGGGATAGTACTACTGGATCGATTTTAATGAAATTTGATCTGTAGATACAATACAAACAATATAAGTAACTATACAATTCAAAAACAAATAACCATTCAAAAATTGCTATTTTGAGTATCAAAAATCAAAAGTTACATTTTTTATTTCTCATTACCTAAACCAGTCAATTATCGATTTAACTAAACCGAACCATCATTATAATTAGCCAGACAATCCTAGGATTAACTAAACTAGTCAATCCTTGGATGACCTAGGACCGATCAATTCTTGGATGACCTAGGACCGATCAATCCTAGGATTAACTGAACCAGCCTATTGGAGTAACTAAAACAGTCAATCTTAGAATTAACTAAAACAGTCAATCCTGGATCTAACCCAAGGCCGGATTTACATATAAGCTAAATAAGCTGTAGCTTGGGGCCCCCAGATCCTACTTTCCCCCCTCTATTTTTAAAGTTTTATTCGGAGCTGGGGCCCTCAGAAAGCCCAAAATGCATTTTTTTTTCTTTTTTACATTGTCGTATATAATAAATATAAATAAATGACTGAATAAAACAAAAAACTTCGTTGTCATTAGTAGGGAACATATAATCTTTCAAGCAATTTGAGTATTAACAAATTATTAATAAATGAACAATTTTATAGTTTAAAAGGTAAAAAAGTTTGTTTTTGCCCCATCATTCGATCATCAGACTGTTTAATATCTGTTTCTAAGGATCAGAATTCTCTTTTATTTTACTTTAAAATTGTACAAATGATATATTTAATGCTTTCATGTGATATGCAGCAGTTTTAAATAGCACTTTAAAATATCTAAAAAAAGGACAGAAATTGTCAGTTCAAAAAAAAAATTAACTAATACTTTAGAATAAGAATTTAAATAACTACACACGTTTGTTTTGCTATCTCACTTTATATAGCATTATTTAGAGTAGACAGTTACGTGTGGGTGTGATGATGACGTAATAAAAGGGGCATACAAAAGAAGCAAATTTCA